TCTGCATTGTGGATTGCTTCTGTTGAAAACCACATTTATAAATGTAAGGCAGTGTTATTAGAACTATTCTTTGGGCCTTTTGTTTTCTTAAAGAATCATCTGGTAACTTGGAACAGGCACTGTTCATGGGTTGGCAGTAGCTTCAATAGTTGCATTAGAGCTTGGCATGCACTGATATTGTAAATGTATTTAAATTAAGTGAGCAATGTGAAATGCTCTTTTTATATCTAGCAAAATATATACTCATGGTACAAGTGTGGTGTGGGAAATTACTTCTGCATACAGTCAAGACAATTGTATAATATTACAAGCCTTCTGGTTTATTAGCAGGAATTCTTATTAAGGAGAGGTCTTCTCTGTAAACAGCTGTATGCATAATCATGTGGCATAAGAGAAATCACAGCTCTATAAACAGTATAGGAATCACCTAAGGAAAAAAAAGAAAAATTCTGTGCAGATGCAGTTTCTTCTGGGTGAAGTCTTTTGTCGGTATTATTGACATTCAGGAAGGTGCTTAAACTACACAAATTACTTTGTTATTTTTGCTGGCATAAACCTGTTTCCAGTAGAAGACAGCAATAACAGTAGCTGTCACTGTAAAGCCTAGCCAGAAAGACTGTTGCGAGTGCATCTTATTTCTAGGATCATGGAAGTTTGTGAAGCGTGCAGTGATCTGATTTTTATGCTCTGAACTTAGTTTACACAAATGCTCTGATTATGTTAGGGAGGTGTCTCTTTCAGATATACGTCCATCAACTTAGAGGTGCTGTTTAGTTGATTTCGTTGACACTGCCAAGATTTCTGCTGAAACAAAATTCCAAGAATTGTGATTTTGAGCCTAGTGATTTATAAGGAGGGGACTGTCCAGATAAGCTTATAGGGATCCTTAATTTAAAGGAGAGAGAGAATTTTCTTCCTCATTTACAACAAATGGTCGTTCTTTTGTATAGTTCTTGGTCTTGGTCAGCAAAGTGCCTTGAAATGTATGGGAGCACTACTGGGAATCCTTCTTTATAATACCTTGCTTCTTCCTTGCTGTGGTCTACTGAATTTCCTTTTCTTTAGTAATATTTAAGATGACTGCCACTCTTCACTGGCCTTCATATTGTGTTTAGGGCTTTGTGGTGTGATAGTTCTCAGGAAAATTAGGACAGAATAATTAAAACTGGTGTCTGTATCTTCAAGTGTATGAAACTTCTGTGAAGGTCTTTTGCCTCAAAAATAAAGTGGTTTTAGTATGCTGTACTTTAATCTACCTTCAAGGTTTTGCTACTTCTGAATGCAAACATCCACGTGGAGGTATGATGCACTTCAGTTTAGTAGCCCTGACTGCATAATATCTAGAAATTAATTTAGATTTAAATATTTAATGGTATGTGTTAAAAAAAAATACTACCTGTTTCTGTTTTAACACTAGGTGTAGTGATTCTTATTCTTTACTAAAATTGTCTTTCTTGGTTACCTGAATCATATTTAGAAATAGGTTAAGCTAATTTGTATTGAGATTCTGTTTTGCCATATCTGCAACATATTCAGAAATAGTTAATCGGTAACAAGTGTTTTGAATTGACTCATGTCCTTTGATAGCTTTCTTGCTCTCTCAGTGCAGAGAAACCCTTACATTGATTATTCTGATGTGATATATGCAGTCTGGGTTGAGTAGCTTGCAGTGACATTTCCTTAAATTTTGAGATGTCTTGAGAACCATGCCAGTTGGTAGACTGTCTAGTGAAGGAGACACTGATTTGGGGTGTATGTAAGTATATTTATTCATTACAAACTGACCTCCTTACTTCAGTAAATGGCTACGTTATTGTTCCAGTGCTATGAGAAAGTAATTTGGGAGTGAGGTGCATTGCTTGCAGCAACCAAAACTTTTTACTTATAACGTCTCTGTCCATTTGGCCTAAGTCATAAGGAAAATCCTTGAAGAATAACTTGAGAAAATGTCTTAGAAATGCTTTCTAGACTTTCAGCCTTCTGTATTGCAGGAAACATCAATCGACACACAGTTGAATCTTTCTTGTGTGAATGCTTCTGTTAGCTTCTGGACCCAAATTTATTGCTGGAGGTTTAGAAACTTGATGGTTTAATCTACAGAAATTCAGGTACTTGCAGAAGTTGATGGACTGACTTCTTCAATCTGGAAGAAATATTCCATGCCGGGTTTATCATCCAGTATGGGAAACGTTAAACAACTGGATTTTTTAATACTGAATAAATTCCAAGAACAACTTCAGTTAATACCTGCCTTGCCATTATCTGGCAGGAATTTGTAAAGATCTGGACCTCTCCACTTATGTTACAGGTGGCAGCCTCGGGAGCTCTGATTTTCCAGGGCATGAGAGAGCTTGGCACTACTGCTGGTTCCATATTTGAATGGATTCCTATGGACCGTTAGACTCAAATTCACCAGGTGCTCACCAAACCTCCCTTCGAACCTGTCACGAAGAGTTAAGTGTTCTCTAGTACCATCAAAGTCATCTTCTTTGGTATGGGAGGTAAAGTGAGATAAATGCACTGTCCATCAAAGAACTGTTCCTACATTTCTTGGATAAAATCATCTTGTGAACAAACTCCAGCTACATAAAACTCAAATAAACTTTACGCTGAATCTGGGCTGTCTAATTTCATTTCTGGGACATAGAGTTTGGTTGACTGTTACTTACTTAAGCAGGGTATTTTCCTTTTATGTTAACAAATACGCTGTCCTCCTTACCTCTGCCCCTTTTCACTCTGGTTATTAGGAAAGTTTCAGGCTGCTAAAGCAGGTGTTTCCAAGTGGAAATTTGTAAAGAAGCAGCTAAAGAAAAGAAAACAAACATCTCTCAAATAAAGACATCTCCCAAAATGCTTGTGGCCCATTTCACCAGGGCTATAGCTGAGAAATAAAGCTTGTAGGAAAGAAGTCTTAAGGCAGTTAAGCCAGTCACCTCTTCATTGCATTATGAAACTATGCACTATGGAAATGGGTGTTCCAGGGGCTTTTTTAGTTGGATTTTTTAAGTTATTATTATATATGTAGTCTCTTCTAGTAAGTGCTAATTATTCATGCTTTGCTTTTATCATTCCTGTTTTCTGTATTGTTTCTCTCTGCTAATTCCTGGTAGTGACTCCAGATTGGTAGATATGGCATGTGCATGAAAAAGGACCATTTTGTTCCTTGTCTGTAACTTGACCTTTTATTTATTACACATATCCATCAGTCTGGAATTTATCTCCCTTCTTTTTACAACTAATAAATCTTATTGCTCTTAACAGGTTTGGTTCTTTTGGCATGCCTCTGCCTTATTTCATGAGGAGGAGAGGAAAAAATGTACAGAAACTACTTCTCTTTGATATGGTTGGGATTTATTCGAAAAACGCTTGGTATTGATGGATATGTAGTTTAACAAACATGTAAAACTTAATGATTTGATATTCAAAGATATTTTGTGCTGTTGCCTTTTCTCAAACAGTTAGATAGATTCAAAGAGCCTCCAGCATTTGGACCAATGTGTGACTTACTGTGGTCAGATCCCTCAGAAGATTTTGGAAACGAAAATTCACAAGAGCATTTCAGTCACAATACAGTTAGAGGATGCTCGTACTTTTATAGGTGAGAATATGCTATGATCTGTCTGATGTTTTAATGCTGAATCTTGCTGCCTATTTTAAGGGAACTTCTTTTACTCATAGTTGTTTTCATTTCCCAGCTATCCAGCAGTTTGTGAATTTTTGCAAAACAATAATTTGTTGTCAATCATTAGAGCACATGAAGCACAAGATGCAGGGTAAGTACTCTGTGTCCTTCAAAAAATTATTCACAGTGTAAAATAAAAATTAATTGCTTATTGCTGTAAGGTGTAAAATAATCTGTTTGGTTTTGCAGTTATAGAATGTACAGGAAAAGTCAAACTACAGGGTTCCCATCATTAATAACAATTTTTTCAGCACCTAATTACCTGGATGTCTACAATAATAAAGGTAAGAACTTGTTATTAATAACTGTATGTCATACTAAAATAAAAATTACTTACTAGGTAAGTCATCTAATGTAAACTTTTTTTTTTGCCAAGTAAGAAATTAAAGGACAAAAAAAATTCCATTTATAAAAGTTATATTATGAAGACAAGCATGTGATAAATTATGGCCTTGTGTAAGAGTACCTTGAAGCACAAGCATGGGCAAACGTTTCCTTTGTAAAAGTTGTTGCTATTTAGTACTTATGAATGTATCACCTGGTGTTTTCCAGTCAGGCAAGCCTTTCCTGTGCTGTGAGTTTTCACTCCTCTTCTTTAGTTTGTGAACTAAGTAAGGAAAGGAGGAAGCGTTGATCAGCAACCTATGCATAAGGTAGTTTGTGTTGTGTATCATGTCAACCGTGAGTCTGATTCTGAACAGAAGAATTTACATGCAGATGAACTCGAAGAATGTGGATTGTGGTAGGTACCGTGGTAAATAAAAACCCCCACTGTGAGTGGTCACTGAAGAAAATGATATGGAAGGTGTATTTTATGTGATGGTACAGGCTGTAATGGACATGTATGGGAAATCAAGAAAGAGCAAGCACTGCTCTAAAGAGTGATCACCACTGGAAATCTGATTAGGGAGGTGTAAAACAGAAGGAATTAATTTTTGTCCATCATCTGCTTAAGATAAAGTTGCACAGGAGAAGCATGCGTAATAGTGTGGAGAAAGATGTACAAGTCAGAATTACAGCAAAGAGCTTAGCTGTGAATATTATTCATAGATGAGAACAAAGTTCAATAACAGAAATAACTACAAATAAAGCCTGCTGAAATTCAAGTATGACATTAAAGTATGGCATTTCAAGTATGTAAATGAATGAATGATCTCCAGATGTTCAAATAACCAAAACCCTTTTTCTCTTAAATACACTGCATTTTGTCCCATCCACCTCCAAAGAACCACCCCCCTACCCCATACCACTTATGCAGGGTGATTAACTGTATAGAGGAGGAGATGAACTGTTGTTACTTGTTCTGGTTGTAAGCTAAAGGAGAAATAAAAATAGCTTCAACTGGCTTTTAACATTTTTTTTCACCATCTCTGTGGATATTGTGTTTTAATAATCCTTTTTCACATCAGCTATTCCCAGTGTAATGCAAGCTTAAGTATGGAAAAATGCAATCAATGCTTATTTAGCTTTAAGATTCTTCTGGTTTTTTGTTTTGTTTCTCTGTGCTTCTCCTTCTCCCTGGTCTTCTAGATTTCTGTGGTTTTACTCCAGACTTACAATGTGGGAAGACGCATACGAAGAATAAAACCTGAGTCTGGATATACTGCTGTTCTGAGTTAGGATGTTGTTAAAATTGCTGAAACTGTTACTTTTCTGGACCTTTTAAAATCTTTGTTTGTTAAAGACCTATAATAGGATAGTACAGAACTATATTGACATGTAACGGTAGCTTAAACTGCAACATGTGCCATAACAATCCAAAGTTCTCCATTAGAAGTCCATTCTCTTTCTTTCATAGTATTTACAGAATGAAGTATCTCTGGGATTATTTTGTGTGTAGTATAAAATAGAGCTAAAACAAACCTATGACTTTATGTTGGTAGTGCTCACAAGTTTTAAACATTCTTTTCAAAATGTCTCACTTTTATTTTAGCTGCTGTATTAAAATATGAAAACAATGTGATGAATATTCGTCAGTTCAATTGTTCTCCGCATCCTTACTGGCTACCAAATTTTATGGATGTTTTCACATGGTCTTTGCCATTTGTTGGAGAAAAAGGTAGGCAAATGTTACACGTCAATTAACTTCTTTCCTATTTCTCCCAGATTGATGTTGGGAAGATTTTTTTTTTAAAATATATTTACCAGTGAGAGATTAGTTGCATAACTTTTGTGAAAATGGGTATCTGTATTTGTTTTCAGGTAGATTTGGTTTTAAAAACTGATTTTGGAGGTTTTTTTTGGCACGTGATAATGCCATTTCTGAGAAAGGATAGCCTGAAATACAACTTGTTCTACAGGTTTTGGTTGTTTTCTTCACATGTTTCAGTCAATATAGTTAAAACTGCGTCTAATTAAGCAGAGGTGTTAACAGAAATTGTAATTTCCATTGAGGGTATATACCTGCATTGTTAAGTAGTACCTTTGAATAGCATTTGAAGTCAATATGAAAATTGTTCATTTTCTACAAACTGGTAGGTTAAAAACCTTACTAACCTTGTATAGTTATAGGTTTGAACTATGTTGAGATGTTCGTGTGAGATTTTAACCTTCCTGTATATTGAGTTGGCTAAAAAAGTAATTATGTGTTTTTCTGGGTAAAGAAAGGGTGAATTTTTAGTGGGAAAGAAGAACTTTATTAAACAATATATTGCCCATTTTGCTCAATTACCTTTTGCCATCTTTCAGGCAACTTCATGATTCCACGCTCAAAAATGTTCTTACCTTTTTTGGCAAAAAGGTAGCTACAAGAACAATTTGATAGCCTTATCAGCAGTGAAGGTTTTACTGTTCAAGGTGTTTTGTAAAGAACAAAACAAATGGCAGTGGCAGTCTGATGGTGCCAGGTCTGGTGGATGTGGCAACAGATCCCATCCAAGCTGCAACAATTTTTGACAAGTGACCAAACTGTTAGGAGGTCTAGCATTATCATGGAGAAACACAACACTCTTGTGATCCACCAGTTCTGGACGCTTCTGTTTGATGGCATCATTTGGCATGTCCAGTTGACGACAGTACACGTCTGAATTAATGGTTTGGTTCCTTGGAAGCAATGCAAAACACACCAGAAATCCCACCAGACTGACAGCATCACCTTTGGTACATATCAGCTTTTGAAGTGATTTGAGCTGGTTCATCACATTTGCTCCACGATCATTTTTGTTTGTCGTTGTTTTAGATGATCCGTTTTTCATTGCCTGTTGTCATACGTTTCAAAAATGGATCGTTTTCTTCGTGTTTCAGGAGAGAATCGCAGATGTCAATGCACTTTGTGAGATAAATTTCATTGAGCTCATGTGGTACCCAAATATCGAGCTTCCTAAAGTATCCAAGTTGTTTTAGATGGTTTTCAGTGCTCGATTTTGATATGTTAAGGTTATCATCAATCTCTCATGTCGTTAAATACTGAATGGATTTGATCAATGCCTTAATTTGTTGTTACCAACTTCGACTGGCCTTCCTGAGTATGGTTCATCTTTAACATCAAAATCTCCAGACCAAAATTTACCAAACCAATTCTGACACTGCTGTAGTTTTAAGGCAGCTTCACCATACAGACCACAGAACTTCTTGTGAGCTTGCACAGCGTTCTTTCCTTTCTGGAAGTAATACAGCAAAAATATGATTAAAATGTTCTTTCTGATTTTCCATTTTGAAATCAATGCCAAATACGTAATTGCTAACGAAATCATGCACTTTCTTTTTCTAAAACAAGGTTGAACTGTCAGCTGTCAAGTTACAAAATGAATTGGCAGTTTAAAATGAAGTTAGTTATGTTTCAAGACATGTATGTCCCTCTATTTAAAAAAAACCCCATGCAATTACTTTTTGGCCAACTCAATAGTTATGACAGATTGACCTTCATTAAAGATAACTTATTCAGTTATAGTTTTTCTTGTAAAAAGATAATTTAGCACAGATCCTTGTGTGTTTTCTTTTCCCCTCTGGAGTTGATAACTGAATCTAGGACGCTGGGGCTCCAAGTAGTCTTCAGTTAAAAAGCAATGAGGTTAGATGCCATTTGGGTCTGTTTAAAATCCATCCATGAGAGTAACTGCTCTTTTTATAAAACTGATCTGGAAAGCTCTTTAAATTTCATTGAAAAGTATTCTTCATATGATATATTTACAGTCATAGAAAACTAGGATTCTGAATCTGTTTATTTTGTTTTAGTGAGCAGTTAAAGGCATATAATTTGGGCACTTCTTAATGTGTCACTCACGTTTTTTTTAAATGACTTTTAAATGGGGAGACCTGACATTTGAAAGGAGATTTTTGGTTTTATTTCTCTTACCTGATGGCAGTAGAGAACCATTCACTGTTGAAAATGTTAAATGCTGTTGTATTTTGCTTTTGTTATGATGCTGGTAGTGAGACACCAAGTTCTATTAAGTAAGTTGGTCATTGACCCACTGTGTGCTTAAGACTGCTTAATCACGGCCCTTGTAGTTTGTCTTGTCTTGGGACAAGTACACACCTCTGCTTTTCATGAAGGATACAGTGTCAATATTGTCTGGTCTGTGTGGAACAGATCAAAATCAGAAAAATGTGTTGGGGTTTTTTTTTTTGTTTAGATTTCTGGAATAGGTTTCTGAACTCTCTGGGGGGAGGAAAAGTTTGTTTTAAGGAAGAGTCTGATATAGGTAGGAAAAATTGAGTGGCAGAATAGGGAGATTCCTGAAGGAAGAAAATAAAAGCTTTTTGTGACAGGTCTGTGTGTCCACTGTGTCGATATTTTTAAGGAGGATTTGAAAAGACAAGTAGTTTGCACCATATTTATAATAATGATACTTTTCTGCTTCAGTGCTTCTGCTATATGCCTGCAGGTTCCAGGAATAGCTTTCTGTTTTTAAGACTGCATTTGAGCAGTGAAAGTGTTTTCATTTTTAAGTAATTTTGCATAAAATCTAGTTCAAATATTTATCTTAATGTAAAAATACTGATACACAAGAAGGGAATCCTTATCTAAAAGAGGTCTTTGTAAGATAGGAGAGAAAGCTTTGCTGTGTTCTTTAATTGTTAGGTGGTATAATTTTTAGCTGCTTATTTTTCTGAGCTTTGTAGATTCTGTGACAGTGCACATCAAGAAAAACACGGGTTTTTTGGAAACCAGGTTACTGAGCAATGGTTATGATTAATTAAGATTTATTTTTTCCCACACAGTAACAGAAATGTTGGTGAATGTTTTGAGCATTTGCTCTGATGATGAACTGATGACGGAGGGAGAAGATCAATTTGACGGTAGGGGTTACTTTAAGATATATAAATCTTTTTGATGGTGGTAACTTGTGAAACAGTAGTTCACTTATACTGGTGTAATATTACCTGGAATTTGAAGAAAATTGCCTTCAGATTTTTCTCTAGACAACAGCACTTGGGGGGTGGCAGGGAAGGGAATCGTGTGTTTGTGATCAAGAAGCAGCAATGGTATCTTTTGCAAATATTCATATCTGATTTCTGTTTAAAACTGACACTTATTGTGAAAAGTTCTCATAATTTCTTGACACTTCAAATTTAAAACATATACTAAACCTACTTTGCTAATATTTAGAATAAATTTATTATAAGATCTTATTTTTCTTAATGATGGCTCTTCAATAAAGAGTTGGTATAGACAAAAGTCAGATATAATATTTCTTATGGCAAAGTACTATACAGAAAGTATGAAATGCAAGTTTAAGTCTTGGTGTTTGAGTTTAAAGTGGGCATAAAAATTCGGGGAACTTTTATATGTATGTTCTATAATATGTATTTATGTAATCAATGATAACATTTTTCTATCTTACGAGCTATGATACCGTAGATTGTTAATGAGGTGTTTGTAGCATGATGATTAAGAAGCAACATTAACAGTAAGATCTAGCGTGTTACACTTTGGTTTGTCGTTTTGGTTTTTTTTTCCAGTAGTGCTTAATGTCACACCTAAAAGCTTCTCAGACTTGCTTCATTTTATCCAATAACAGAACTGATTTGGTGGATTGTTTGGCAGTGGGAAGGAGGAAGGAAAGTTTCAGCAGCTTTTGAGGAACTCTAAAGATCATTTACAAAGACATTAGAGACACGACCCCATTCTTAATGTTTGATGACTACTGTGTTCAAATTCACTAGCAGAATAGTGTTGTGCTAAGCAGCTGTGTGTTTTAGATTGGAATGTGTTGGTTATGAGCCACCTGAACTTTGCTGACATTTAGATTGTTGCCAGAAATGTGAGCTCTTAGTCTCAAATGTGATTCTGCAAACAGTTAATTGATGTTTTTCATTCATGTAATCCTACTAAATTGAACATAAAGCAGTCAGACCAAGCATTTGTAGGGTAGGGTTTGGTGGTATTCTGAACCGTTAGGATCTAGGTTGTCCAGCATAAGTGCAGTCATCAGTTGATTGCATATGCCCTGTCTTTAGTACAGTAGTTGCAGTTTCCTAATTTGAATTACTTTATTCTTCTGTCTCCTTTAACCATTTCTTTGCTTGATGCATCTCTTAATGCCACCTAGGTACTGTCTACGCTTTATCTTTCTATGTGAATTGTTGGTTTTTTTAACTGTTGACTTTCAAGCTTTCACTTGTTTATCAACAAATTTTAAAATACACTCAGTTCCACTTCTTGTTCGATGAATGCATTTTTCAGTGTTGCAATTTTCCATTTTATTTTTTTTCACATTTCTTCTCCATTCCTTCTTTATTACCACTGCCAACTTAAATATCTTTATTTTATTTGTCTCACTCACCTTTTTCTCCATCGTTCACTTCCTTTTTTTCTGGACTCTCCATCTGAAGAGCGACTCATATATGGCAATAAAAAAGGTACAGACCAGACAGAGTAGGAATGTTTTGAAATATGACTTCATAGAACCTGGCGGTGTAAGCATTAATGCAGAAAATACCTTTCTGTTGAGAGACGTACATAGCATTTTATTATTATTACCCATTTTGATGGGATGTTTATAAAGGCTTGTGTATTCAGTTATCAGAAGTCATATTCCAAGACATCTGTCTTTCTGTGCATGAATTTTTTTCCTCCTTTCTTCCATTCCTTTTTTTGTAAAATTTCATTCTTTTACCTACTTCTAGAATCTTATCTTTGGTCCTGCATGTGTAGGGAGCATTCAGTTGTCTGTCTTGCTCTTTAATAATTTTATTGTGAGCTTTTTTTAAGATTGTGCATGGAATGTGTTTATGGAGTGTTCCAAAACCTCATTTGTATCGTACTTTTAGTTTCCTTCAACTGAGATGTCAAAAAAGTACTTTTTGATTGTTTGTGCAGTTTTGAAGATGGCTGCGTATAAAATGTAGAAAGAAGCCTTCTAACCTGCATTCATGGTCTATCAGCTGTTCTTCAGAAATTCCCAAGTAGATCATTCTATGCAGAAAAACTCTTCTGACCGTTACTGACCTCATAATTGACTTGCTCTCTGTATAAATTTGACACTGCAGAGAATATTTCTCATTCTTGGGAGTGCATTAGATTATACAGGTGTTTCCAAAGGTTAGGAGAATTCTTCGGAGCGCAATAGTATGAGCGTTTCAGAGTTTGTTTCTTGTGCAGGCATTGGAAATAGAGAATGCAAGAGCTCTTTATCGTATGTCCTCTAGTTTAGGTATAATCAAGACATTTTCCTGCAAGCAGTTGCCACCTTACTATCATTTCTCTGAACTAACCAGGAGTCAGTGGCCCCATTCTTGCAGTGCTGCAGCCTGGAGTAATATGCATGGTCTTTTGGCTTGGCTGCATTGCTTCTGGAGGGCTGGGGCAGTAAAAGATTGTGGTAAAAACAAAAACCAAAACCCAAACAAACACCAAAACTATTCCAAACCAGCCTTTCTCCTTTTAAGGCACAAGGACCTTCTGGAGTTGAGACAGCAGCACTAGCACTGCCTGAAATCTTTTCAGCCTGCGTGTTACAGCTCTGCATCAAAGTAGCCCTCAGATAGGTGTGGGTAGGAGGAAAATCGAGGGACTTGTAGATGATGGTCCTCCATTTAAACCTGGCCTTTTCAAAAACTCTGAAAGAGTCCCCTTCTCATCCTAGGTCCTTAAGCTGTTATTTGGTAGTGTTCGAAGCGGAAAGTAAAAACTTCTAGAACTTTAAAAATTAAAAGTTAAATTTGAAAAGAAATTATTTCTGGTAAAAATTTAATATTTCAGCCTGTACTATTCAAAGTATTTTTCCTGAGACTTCTGGTTTCGTGGTTTTTTTTGTTTGTTTTGGTTTTGTTTTGTTTTGTTTTTTAATTTGGTGTCTGCAGTTCGTTAAAGTTGTTCCTTTGTCAAAAAAAAAACTTTACGAAGTAGTTCCTGGCATTTTTCTTTCATTTAAATGGATTTGCAGATATTTGTCATACCCCGAGATTCCTTCATCTCTTACTCCCTTTTTTCTTGTTGCTACGTTTTCCTCCTTGTGTCATTTTGTTGTTGTTGTTGTTTGCCCCTATAGGCCTTATCTTTTGTATTTTATTTGGGTTCGTGTTCAGGGTGGGAAGTCTGCCCACTCCTGTGCAGCAGAAGGCCTTTGGGTTCTTGCAGTTCCTGCAACTGTGATCTGAAAGGGGTGACTCTGTGGTGCTGGAGTGTAGGCACTCCCACGGGGAAGGTAAATACCAGTGAGCAGGGATGAGAAAAGGCCTCTTCCACAGCTGCCTTTTTGGATGCAAATAGACAAATTTGTGGATATGCAGCTTTCCTCTGCCCGCTTCCATGATCCTCTCTTCTACCTTCTTGCAAATCAGTTTGGCGACTTTTTAATTAGTACCTTTCTGCCAGGGCTGAGGAGCAGTGACAGATGGAAGATCTGGAATACCTAACAGAGCTGTCTGAGGTTGTTCCCTTTTGGTCCCCTGGGGTTGAATTCAAAGTATGACTGAGTTACTCGTAACTCAGTGCTTAATACTCTCCTTTCCCAATGGCTGAGGAGAAGTAAGGGTTCTAGTTTTGATATCTTCTCACCTACTTGTTCTGTTTTAGTGGAATTGTGCAGTTGGCAAAAGGGAAGGAGGATGAGGGAGGGGAAGGATGACTTTTATACATTGAAACAAACTAGCAACACCTAGTGTAGGAGAAAGGAGCTTCCATTTTTATAACCCCAAGGCAGGCAAAGGTGGCTTTCCTTCCCAATCACAAGCCTCCTTGCAGAGTTTTGTCTTCACTTTTACCTGTCACAAATGGTATCTCTCTGCTCTGTAGAATGTGCAGTGTTTACTCCAGTTCTTTGGTGTTTGTAATTTCTGAAAATCATGCAAGCCTAAGATGATGTAGAACATAGAATTAGTTGGTAAGGGAGGTAAGACTGCGATTCTTTGGCATTTTATTTTGTGGGGTTTTTTTGTGGGTGTGTGTTTTGGGGAGTTGATCTAAAAATAAGCAAACAAACTGTTTTCTCTGGGACAGCTGTGTAAGAATTAGCAACAAATCTTTATTTTTTGTGGTTTTAATAACTCTTTGGCTACGGTATCGGGCTGCATGCCTACATCTCGATACATACCAATGTCAATGAAGAATTTCAACTGTAAAATTTAGGCAAATGAGTTATGATAGTTACTACACTGTAGTGGTGGTAATTTAGATGCTTGCTAGCTTTAGGAAATCAGTATGAACATCGTACACTTTTGTGTGTGTGTTTTGTGGACACAGAGGTGATGGTTTTGATGGCATAAAGCCATTTTATAATTTTGTGCTCTTAAGTGAAAAGTGCTGAACATAAAGAGTTGTGTTGAATTTGATGTGCTTTTAAGTGGTGACCTGTAAATACTCATGAGCTTGAGACTCTCTCTTATTCCATTGAAAGTAGGTACAGCTGCCGCACGGAAAGAAATAATCAGAAACAAAATTCGCGCAATTGGCAAGATGGCAAGAGTGTTCTCTGTTCTCAGGTACCTGCATGATTTCTGCATTCCTAAAACCCCTTACGTATATTAGGAAAAGGTCTCTGTTCCAGGATAATGCATGCCAAACATTTTTCAAAGAGATCCTTGTGCATCAGAATCTAGCTTGGCATATTGGTGCACCCCATTGATGTTGGTAGTTTTTGGTTAAAGAGTGTGTTTAAGTTGCTTTTGAGACACGTTTCAAGAAATTGGAAAACGTGATCTTTAGTTCACAAGTTAGTTGTCCAGCCATTAACTATGAGCGTTGGGCAATACCAAAACAGAGAGTTTGAAATCAAAGATGTAATGGAGGAGGCTGGGACTGGCTTGGAAAGTTTCTGGCATACCAGAAAGTTGAGGATTAGGGGGGTTTTTTGCTTCAGGTTTTTGTTCATTTTCAGCTTTAAAAAAAATACCCTTTTCTTGCACCTGTCTAGATCTAGAGATTCCATGATCACATTTACCATGTATAGTTTTCTACAGACCATAATGACTCAAACAGAGGTAACTTCAAAAAGTTGGTATTTCCTGAAGCATGGACACTTTGAACAAAATGGTGTATTGTTTAATGACACTGAGACGTTCAGTACCTCATGAGGCATTCAGTGCTGATTTCAGAGCTCATGAGCCTGCAGGTGAATAATTGCTCAGAATTTGGTTCAGAAGTAATCAGTGTTTGTAACTCATAGGCAAAGGAAAGACTGGTATGGAATGGAAATATTTTCCCCTTTGTGGTTGTTTGAATTTGAATTTACAGTCAGTCTTGACATGCATAAAGCGCAGTAAAAATAGGCGCTCTCTCTCCCCATCCCTTCTCTTATTTTAAGACACGTTTTCCTGAGTGGTTATTTAAGGTTTTGTTGCTCTTTTTTCTTCCACCAGGGAGGAGAGTGAAAGTGTGCTGACACTCAAGGGTTTGACTCCCACTGGCATGTTACCTAGTGGAGTGTTGGCTGGAGGACGGCAGACCCTGCAAAGTGGTAATGATGTTATGCAACTTGCTGTGCCTCAGATGGACTGGGGCACATCTCACTCTTTTGCTAACACTACACATAATGCATGCAGGGAATTTCTTATGCTTTTCAGTTCTTGTCTTAGCGGCTGATACAAGCATAGTGTTATGTGTTAATCAGGCAATGTGAAATGGATACTTAACCAGGGTATAAAACTAAAAGCAAATGAGTTCAGCAGTGTCAGGCCACATTTTTCAGACTTTGAGCTTCCTTAGTTTACAATTTTTCAGGTGGCACAGATGCCTGAAGTGGGGTGACCTTATGGATCTGGTATTGAGGCATTTGATCACTACAGATACAAAAATGGCAGTGTAATTTTGCATTGTTACTTGTCTGCTTTCCATTAAAATGGTTTTACCATAGATGTGTTAGTGTTTTCATTGACAGTGTCAAATACTTGTTGATATTAATATTAACAAACAGCTACAGGCTGCAGAGTTCCATATGACACTCCATTGATAGACTGAAATGTGCTGCGTTTTGTACCCTGGTAATTAATGCCAAAGTTTGTTCTCTATGTTGTTTGTCAAATGTTCTATGTATAATTGACCTCCCTGAATTGTCCTTGTAACATGCTGTTTCCTTCCTCTGCAGATGTAGCTGCTTTCTTAGATCTGTCTGTCTCTCTCTAGGTATAGATGTATGTCTGTATAAGTGTTAAAATTAAACCACTATCCCAGACACTTGTCTGTCTCTTGATGTAGAAGCAATGTTGTAGCACCTTGTTTTTGAGGTTTGCTGCATTTGCTGCTGCACATTGTCTGTGCATTTTGAACAATAATGTACTTGAAAAATATTCAGTAATTGTTATAAAATCAGTTGAGAATAAAGGGATTGAATTTAAAACTTGTAAATAAATCAAAATAAAAGGGTGTTATTAAGTGTGCATATATTTTTTTTGCATGAAAATAAAAAGAAATCTATACAAAATATACCTGTAATCTGGCTCATTGAATATTTTGTAAAAGGTTTTTCTTTTTTTTTTCTTCTTTTTTTAGTTTGCTGAATCATTGGATCATATTTTTCACAAGGCCCATAAATTATTAACTAGGCTTAGGGAAATGTTACGAGATTTTACCAAGTGTGTTAAAAGAATGAAGTCCAGGTTTCTATTCACCGTGGTGGATTAACTAAAATACACCAGTCTGAAACTGGACTTCATAGCAGCAGCACTCTTAACATTAATTATTCAAAGACTTTTTATTGGCCATCTTCAGGCTTTAAAAGAAAGTGTAAAACTGTTGTGTGGGACCACTGAGTTTTATAAATATTGAAAGATTGTGATACATGAATACCACTTCTTACACAATCTGTTTTCCAAGAGTAGCTGCTTTTCTCATTTCATGTTCTAGACTGTTAGAATTTTTTAATTTTTTCTATGTAGTTTTTTTAAAAGCTTTTCACTACATTTTCTTCTAAACTATCAAAGCTGGTTTTTAATAGCTTTGAAACGTGAGTGTCACATTTTAAGTCATTTTTCAGTGGACATATAATGTCTACAAGTAAGTTTATATGTCCAGTGTATGTATGTGATTGTTTTGTGAATGTCTATAACCAGAAATAGTGTATGTTTCCTAATCCATCCAACTATTCCAAAAGCATATGTTCTAGTTCTACTTTTCATTGTTAAATAAGATACTTTATTATGCTTAAAAAAATGAGTCTGCATTCCTCTCACTCATTTAGCAGATTTTTATCCATGTTGCATTACAAGTATCAGAGAGGATCAAACTGACTAGAAAATTTTTTTAACATAAAACGTATGACTTTCTGCCATTGCTGAAAATGTGGGACGTTTGGAAAGTATGCAAAATGCGTTTTGGATTTTTGTGGGGGTGTTCTTTTCTCGGCTAGAACTTTTGATGGCAATATTCCTTGGTGCGCTACATTAATATACCACTTTTGTTTTAGTCACGTTGATTGTTCAGAATTACTCATGCCAACTTCTTAGATCTCCTTAAATTGCAGTAACTTCTTTCTAATGAGAACAATTTCATTGTTCCAGTCATCAAAAAGTAGAAGTTTTCAAATTATTATGCTTAACTGCAAAACTGTAAACCAAAAAGAAAATAAAATTTCAGCACTTTACACTTTTCTAAACCATCACAGTATCAGTTAATTCATATTTTTGGCAAAAATATGAACACTGATAGTATAGTAGGATTTCTTACTACAAATATTTAATTTCTTGAAGTATATTGTACTGTGTTGATCAATATACTGTCAATAATTTTAACTAGTCTAGATCTAAGAAAATGATGTTGTAGTGTTTTTTATTCTATTAGTTTGTTTGCTGGAAAATTCACAGAATTGATCAATATGTCAGGGGTTTTCAAGATTTCTGTCTTACGAGGGGTCGTTTTTCAGTGGCACATTGAGAAAAGGTAGTTTTGCAGGTTGCTATTAAATCTATAAGAAGTTTTGAAAGCTGTAAGAAATTGGAGTGCATACCTTCATTTGTCTAGAGAACTGGGCAAATATGTATATAGCCATACATATTTAAGTCACCATTAAGGCAGTGCATATGCAATTTTTGCATATACGCCTGTTATAATTCTTAATGTCAGTAACACATTCAGTACTACAGCTTAGCAAATACCACTGCTGCTTCAGCCATTTGTTCAGGCACAGCTGCTGTCTTTGGTGGGATCCTGGCCGCTCTCAGAGGAGAGAACCTGGTTGGCGTTGCCGTCACGCAGAGTAGGCACCAAACACGTCGGTCGGTCCCATGCAACTGCTTCCTTTATGGGTGATGCTGGAACAGATTCTTGCTGCAAAACGGAGCAGTCTGAGGGTGAAATGCAAAGTCTGACTGTAGTGAAAGGGTTAAAGAAAGACAAGCCAGTTAAAAAATACAGTTTTGGAAAAAAGTGCAAAACCAATTCCTATGGAAGAAGTCAATATATTATTTTTTCCCCAAAAAAATACATGGATATATTTTTGAAAAATGAATCATGGGTTATCTTTAGATAGCTTTAATGTATTAGGATAAAAATAAACATTGGGAAATAGTGCCCTTTGTGTGGTTTTAATTATTTTTATTTTAGTGTAGATTTGGTTTTTATTCTTTATGGTGCTTGCATCATAGTAGCTGAAATATTAAAGACCATATAAATACTGTCCTTTCAAGTACTATTTCCTAGTGATTTATTCTGTGAACCGAATCCAACAAAATTATTTTCCAAATTGAGTCAACACCTGTTTAGAAAAAAACAAAACACAAAAGCCTTATTCAGCAACACAGTAAACACAAGCCTAAATTAAAAATTGTAAGTACTTCCATGGAAATCAGTTGAATTAGGCAAATACTTCCTGTCTTTCATTGCTGCCCTTCCTGTTAGTCGGAGGGGCAGTCAGATAGTTTTTTGGGTTGATGTTGAAAGTTGGCAAGGCTTTTGTATCAGATCTGTCCCCTGAGTAACGCAGGGGGAGAGCTGGAACTGAGGATGGAAATGCCATTGAATGTTCTTGCTTATAATGTGCTCTCAAAATGAGAATTTTCGGAGCAAAAGCTTCAGGATAACCTGTTACGTCAGTGTGATACAATATTCATTTGAGGTTTATCAGGGCTTACAAACAATACGGTTTTATTCTAGATGTACCTGCAAAAGAGAATCCAACAAAATTATTTTTCAAATTTAGTCTTTCCAGTGTGGGTTTTTTTGAAATGTTTGTATTTTCCAGTCAGTTTGTTCTTTTATGTCAAGTTGAAAATTATCGTTTTCTTAACTGTGATGTATATTCCAAGATCTTTTTGGAATAATAGTGCTACAAGTAGAATAAATTAGGAGTGAATTTTGAAATTTGTATTTATGACCAAGCTACATAATTTACAGAGATAAATCAGTATTCGTGATCTTTTCAGGAAAAGATTGAAAACAAAGACTTCACAGGTAACAGGAAATGGTGGAAAGAGGTGGTTTTTTAACGTAGTTTTGTATTTGTATGGCAAATGGATTATAGTATGAAAGTATGTATTTGGTGACTGTCGACAGTAATTCTTTAAATAATTCAGTTTTACAATTTGAGAACGTTTCTTTCCCTTAACGTAAACATGAATAACCATCCGTTCAGGTGTCTTTTTTATTCAGTTCTGGGATTGCCCTTGTCTCTAGGTTTAAATGCAGGAAGTTGGTTTTGGTTGGTTTGGGGTTTTTTTGGACTGTGGAATACGCAGTATGTAAAAGACAAAATGCTGCGTTACCCTTAAGTATTCCACGTTATTTTAGTAGCAGTTAATGCAAATATCTAATTCAAAAAAAATTTTAGAGTATCACAGTGGAAATTGTAATGTTACGCAACAGTGAGGTTAAGGCATAGTGTAGGCAATTGAAACGTCTGGCTTTTGGTGGCTGGGCAATGAGAAGTAAACTTAATTCACTTTTAACAATTCTATTCTGATCTAATGCCATATTTTCTTACATAGCCAGTTTCCCCAGCATTCGCTTGAATACTCTTCTATGGGTTTTGTTGTTAACAATATTTACCAGGCGCTGCACAAGTAGGTTTATATCACTATTTATGCTATAGCTTGTTACTATTTCTGAAATTATGACATTAGAGGCATGGTGCATAGTAGGGGAGGTAAAAAGTTGTTACCATTATTGAAATTTAGCTGCAGTTTAGGCCATAGTTACAAAGCGGTTTCTTTAGCAAGTCTGCCCTAGTATAAGGTTATTGTGATAGCCTAATAACCTTATGTTAAAGCTTTGACTTCTAGAGCTAGAGCAATTGGGAAAGATCTTACACCTAAGAAATTTCAGCAGATGTCATGGTTATTTACTTCAGAAAACAACTGGTAAACGAGACTACTTTTCATATTCACATTAATTCGCCCACAAAGACGATGTTAAATCCAGACCTTTTCCTGCCCTAGATTTTGTTGCTGGTTCAACTCAGCAGTTTATGAGACTCTGTGAATGTGACTTGCTACATTTGTCTTTTGTTTTAAGTTTTATGGTTCAGTTCTCAGAGATGCCCATTTTAGCTTAAAATACGGTGAGAAATTGAAGTACTACTTAAACTTCAGGGAACTATACATAAAAAGAAAAATATTTTTTTAATTATTAGAACACCACCAGTGTTATTTTTGTAACATAATTCCTTGGAGTTCAATGAAGCTCACTAATGCATTTTAATCTTTAGAAATAGTAGTCTCAGATTTTTAGTATTATTGTAAAGCATACCACAACTGTAACTTCAGTTGAAATCTTCTGTTACTGTCTTAAAAAAAACCCTAAAAAACTTATAGAAATGTGCAGTTAATAACATCAGTTTAGTGTTGCTTTGCTGTACTTTCAGTTGATAAATACTTTCAGCATTAGTTAAAATTTAGGAGAAGTTCCACTTAAACTTAGAAACAACCCCCCAAAACTGTAATTATCATTTAAAAGAACTGTAATCTGACCGGGCGTAGCATACGATTTTAAATTGATCATTGCCTTTTCTGCTGTGCGATATTACACTCTTCATCTTTCTCATTCATTTTGCATGCATCTGCTCACTTCTGTACAGCCACTGTAGAGGCAATTGAGGCTGAAAAAGGTATGATCAGAGTCTTTGCCATCGGCAGAGATCTGTGGTGTCTGGGAGGGAATTCAAAAGTACTCTGTGTGGGTGTGTTTTACTTTCAACTTGCACAAGCAGAGATGAATCAACTGCATTGATTCATCCCTTTTACATGTAACATTCATTTCTGGCTTTAGGATGATGATTATCTTTAATATTTCAGGGAAATTCTTGGGGTTTATTTGGTCTTTTCTGTTTGTTTTTACAAAATACGCAGTAGGTTTTTGTATAATGGCATGTTGTGATACGTGGTGTTGTCTTGAAGTCCTTAAAAATGGTAGTGTTTAGTGGGGGGGTTTTCTGCATTCAACCACAAGGTTTTGTTTGATTGTGGGAGGGGGTTATATGTGGAAGGAGGGTTGTTTATGCATGCTTTTTCTCATAAAATCTATTTTAATACCTTTGAACAGTTTTTTGAAACTTTTCGTAACATATGTGGTGTAGTGCAAAACACATAATGTTTTTTCTATAGACTTTGAACATAATTTGATGCCCAAATTTATTTCTAGTATATACGCCAGCCTGCCAGTATGAGGCATATTAAATTCTGTGGATTATCAGTGCTTCTGTGCTAAATAAGTTGTATATACATAGTTTGCTAGTGGTATTGAGCAAAATGCTACCGAATTATTTGGTGTTCAGAGTATTCAACATCAGACTGTTGTTTTTTCAGAGAGACTTCCATTTCCCCTTGCTCAGTATTCAGTGAAGTGAATGACAAACAGCGTAGCAGCTGAGCGAGCGACCTTCGCGGTTTTTCAGATTCGGTCGCAAAGCACCATTTGATGACTGTGTTCTTTGTTTTTAATTAAGGAAGTCAGATCTCCAAAAGTATAAACAAGTGCCACATTCTGTTCTCACACACGTGCAGGAGGTCCCGTTGTTGTGAGTGAAAAGCAGTGCTTAAATCTCCAAAGAATTACTTCATCCCAAAGACTTCAGTCTTTCTGTGTGGTCAGCCATTTCCAGGTGTAAATTCACCAACAGTCCTCATTCATTAAAATAATCAGTAGCAAAAGAAACCCTGTTTTTCTAATTTACTTTAAATACGTTAGTATTTAAACGATGCATCATTTAACCACAGTGCTGACTCGGTGATTGTGGTTGCGTCCATTTCCATCGTCCACGCGATTGGCACAGAGCGTGAACCGCATCCCGCAGTTCTGCCGCCGCGCAAACTGCAGGATCAGGGCACCGGCGCGTACGCAGGGCGTAAACCCGCCGTGACTTCCGTACCCCTCTGCCGCTCTGCCTCCACTGCGCTTGCTGTGCTGCTTACACCTTTCTGACATCCCACCCAAGAGAAGGGGGATGTTGAGATAAGCCTGGCACGCTGGGCAGCAAAAGCAGCTGGTGTTTGTAGCTGGCCACCCCAGGGACACGCAGGGGCAATCAAGTGGGCTTAAACCCTTTGATTCCTACGTGCAGAATATTTGCCATACTTTGTTCTTTTTGGTACGAGCTGAAATCGTGGTTGCCGTTGAACATTTCAGGAAGGCAGGTTAGAGAAGCTTTTACTAATACAGATGCAGAGCCATAAGTTTCTTTGGCTGATTTCTTACCTGTTTTTAAACATCGTTTGTTAGAAAAAGTATATGCTTTCAACTTATTTTTCCGTTACTGACATATCAAATTTGCATTTTGTTAAGCAATACGAGGATTCTCTCCGCAACATAAAATCTGCAGTTTTGAAGAAGCAAAAGGTTTGGATAGGATCAATGAGAGAATGCCACCAAGAAAAGATGCTCTTCAACAGGATGGTATTAATACTATAAACACAGCAAATGCCAATGGAAACAATGGAACTGGCAACAACAATGCACAGTGACCACCTCCGCTTCTGGTTTACTCACTCATGTCTTGCCTGAGAATTCCTAGATTTCTGCTTTTTGATGTGACGACAGACGGAGCAGCCCGGGGATCGCTTGAAGTGACTGAACACAGGGTGGAAAACCATCGGACTTGATCCCACTGAAGAAAGACGGTCGTGCTTTGGAGACAACAGCCCCCTCTTCACCTGGTGGCCCGACCTGCAGGGAGCGCCTCACCTGTTTCCACACAGTCTGGTCCGTCCCTGGCTGCCGAAGCTTTGGAAGGGATCTGGGGAAAGCACCGGGCTGTTCTCGCTAAAGCACACGCAGACTGGCATCTTCCCGTTGTCGCTGTCAACACTTTTAAGTTTACAAATGGGATTTGTCTTTCAGTAGAGGTTGTTTGTTTGTTTTTTTAAAATCAGACTTTCAAATACAACCCTAAGAGCTAACTATTTATTAATGGACATCGGTTTCATGAAATGTCTTTAAAACGATAGATTAGAATGGTCTTAAAATATCTGAGTCTGCAAAAACTGTGTTTTAAATAGACAGAAAAAATGCCAAAAAAAAATAATCTCAGTTGGTCATTCTGTAAAATGCTGACCTCAGGTTTACTCCTTAGATGTTACTAATTCTATATTGTATTCACTGTATTTTTTAGTTACAGCTTATCAGAAGATTTCTATGTAGGAATGTTTATTACTTGAACACAGATTGAAAAAAAAAAATATTTAATTTAGAAACTTTTTTGCCCAGCTTTTTCAAGACTCTTCCCCACCTTGAATTTTAAAAAAAAAAAAATTATTATATATACTAATTTTAAAAGTAAGAAAAATACGGAAGTGTTAATTTTAAGGTACTTTTAATTGAACTTTGTACATTGTTTAAGTAAATTTTGATTCATATCAAGTCTGTAAAGCTTGGCATTGTATTTTGTGTATGCATGTTTTCATTTTGCAGATATTTAATATATAGACCTATGATGTACATCTATAGGTTTCCTAGATGTTATGGGTACTTTTAGTTTATTGTGAGTATTACGGTTGCATAAATAGCTGATAATCACTGGGCTGATAGCTGCAAGCTTTTTATCATTTTTAAATCTGTAAAGGAACTGAAGCTGTATCGGACCTACCTTTCTGTTTAGGCAAAGCAGCGCGTAAGCAATTGCTCTGTTCAACTGCTAAGGCATTAGTGGAAGTGTAACCTTGAGACTGCATGTATTTTGGTATCTACGGGACTGCTTGGTTAAAATAAACATTGAAGCCCTGTGCTAATTTGTTCACAAATAATGGACTGTACTGATTGCCACTGTATTTGTTATCTATTTTGACATTTGCTACATGTCCTTCTCATCCCCTGGAACACAACTTGAAACTTATGTCACTAGCGTTCATCTCCCTTTTGTTTTTGTTTGCCATGAAGTACAATCTGTACATACCCCTAAGTTGGAAATTTTATGCATGTTCTGAACTATTCAAGTATTTTATAAACAGTAGCACACAATAAATTTTGTGCATGGGCTGCGGCTCCTATCATTGTGTATTGGTTTTATTTGGCATACGTAGGTCTAATCCGACCTTGACAGTTGTTTAGAAATACTCCTCAAAATTGAAGCTAATGAAAACAAATAGCCTAAAAGGCCAGATTTAACTTGCAGAACTAGTTGAATGTAAATGCTACGTAATTTAATTGTTATCGCTGCTGCTTTTTTTGCTTTCAAGTTCTCTCATAAATAAAAGACGTAGGGATTTCCTGTCCGCTGAGCTGGACCCTGCACAGCACTGTTGGTTTGTATGAGCTTGTTAGAGCGGAGCTGATTCTGGAAAGGCTGTGAACACAGCGGCGTTCTGTGCGGTGGTTTGAACTAAACGTTCAAGACACTCCGGTGTATTTGGGCTGCTTTTTGGGGCAGAGGGGGAGGACTGACTGTTTTGACACTCAGTACAGGTACCTGGTTTAGGCTTTCTGCTGTATTTTTTTTTAAAGTAAGGACAAGCTGCTGAACAGGATGAGAATTAGGATAAAAGATAAAAATAATAAGCACTATTGCTAATGGAGTCTTAATGTTTGATTTTACTTTATTGCAGATGCATTCTAATTGGAAACTCTTCTCAAAGTGGAGTGCAGAAGGTCAAGTTAAAAATGGTAAGCTTGGCTTTGGTTTGGTTTTGTTGTTGTTTTTTTTTAAATGAAGCACCCCCATAGTTACGAGCTGCATCATCTATGTAGGATGTCACATTAGAGCAGAACAAACACATGACGAACGTTACGATGATTAGCTCCCTCCTTGTAAGCGCTAGTGGAAAATCTCTCAGCCTCACAGGACAGTATGGTTCATGATTTGATACTCAGATCTTAGTTGTGGTCAGTATTCAGATGAGCTGGAGTTGTGGAGAAAACAGATTCATTGTAACTGGAGAAAACGTGTTTTGGTAATGGCAGCTGCAGTGGTGCTTGAGGATTCCCTTGCAGTATCCATTTTGCTTCCTTGAGGATTCCCTTGGGATACCTGTTGTCTGTAGCAGTTTTTGCCAGATACAAAGGTAGATCTGCAATAAAGGAAAACTTCTTGGGCAGCTGTTGACCTGATTTCTTATGCTGTGTGTCTCCCGTCACCCTTTGAGCATGTAGTCAGGTGACAGGACTATGTCTGTGGGTTTTCTTTGTTTGGAAAGTAGGTACTCATTTTTTACTGCTGTGTTTCTGAAAGGTGGAGTCTGGAGCTGTCTCTAATTCTTGCATTGTTGGCGAGAAGAAATTCTCTCCTGCCTCCCAGAAAACTGTAAGTAGTTTGTATCGCTTGTGGTCTGCTTTTGGGGTTTTAAGTAGCAGGGAGCGTGTGTGTGGGGAAGTCTCTGTGTCCTTGGTCAGTTTTTGGGTAGAGAACGGAGAATGCTTGGAAGTAGTTGTCAGCCAAAGGACACGGGCAGCAAAAGCTGAGAGGGGTGCGGTTGGCTCCTGGTCTGAGCTGGAGCGATCAATGCCGTGCCCTGCCCTGCCCTGCCTGGGGCTCAGGGAAAAGGCTGCTTCTTCCCTGAACTGCTGGAATAAACCATCCTCTCTGGTGCTCAGAGGTGGCGGGAGGCTCTGGCTGTTCTGGGAAGCGTGGGTGCATTTCAGTGAACAGAAGCAGAAGTACCGAACACGCTGGAGTGAGGGGTTTGGGGGTTGTTTTACAGCAAGGGCTTGTGCTGTCGAGAAACTTGCTGCCACCTGGTGAGCCACAAAGGGAAGACCAGTAGAGCTCACAGAGTCTCGCCTGTAATTTAGGTTAATGCAAACACACAACCTCATCACCCAAAATTCTTTATAAACAACAGCTTTCCTTTCAAAGCTTATTAAATTCCAGTTGTGAAAGGGAAAAAATGCAATGGTCCTATCTACTGAATTGTGAAGAGGGCCTCTAGCAAAAAGACAAATGGTTGGGATTGGAGCTGTTTTTCTCTTAGAGAGAGGTTCATCTCTTCTGGCTTGAGTCTGAACACTTTCTGAGCAGAACAGTCTCATCAAACAGCTTTCTTTTTCCTGATGTTTAATCTTGATACATCACTATATCAGTTACATAGAAAAATAAAGGCTTTTTCAGAGGCAGGATAGACGGTATCTGTTCATTCTTTTCTTGCCTATTTTTGCTAGAATTTCATTATCAATAATTCATTTCTTCTTACCCATTTAACAGTTGTTACTAGCATGTAATGAAAATAACTTGTCATTAAACAGGTGAATGTTAACAATTGTTATCTGTTAACGCGTTGCTTAGAAATGTTAGGAAACGCATTGCTAGCTGCTGGACTTGAAGCTTCTGGTTACATTTATGGCTGGGGACAGATTCACTGTGACTTTCTGAAATACCAAATGTGCTATTCAAAGCTGTTCTTTCTAATCCTTTGAAAACATCCACAGTCGTTTACATTGTCTAGGTCACAATCGCTTTCAGTCTGGATTCACACGTTCTCTAGTGTTAGCATTTTCATTGCTCAGTCACTTGCTGTATAACCCACCCCTTTACAAGGAGATACTGCAAAGTTGGATCAGAGATCATTTCTCCTTTCCCTTGTTGCCATAAGCATAATAGTAACTAATTTCAGAAATTAAATAGAATTATTTAATTATTAATGGCAGTCAGATTCTGCCAACAACTTAAACTGTGTCTTAAACTGAGCACTTGCATATTCTAGAATGTATTGGGTCAGAAGGAACCTTTGAAGATCCCCTGGTCCAACCCCCCTGCAGTGAGCAGGGACAGTGTTACCAGATCAGGTTGCTCAGAGCCCCATCAAGCCTGACCTTGAATATCTCCAGGGACGGGGCCTCCACCACCTCTCTGGGAAACCTTTAGTTTTGCTACATTATGATGGAAAGACATTAATGGGGGTGTTGGTATAAAATGCTTTCTATCACAGCCTCAGGCTTTTTTGGTGATCTACAGTTAGCTCAGCAGGTAAGTTGAGGTATTTCAGGAGTGCTGGACATACGGCTGAACAACCAGTTTAGTTATGTGGGAGTCTGGCAGAGGGGAGGTGGTTTTGTCTGGGTCAGAAGGACTAAAGCTTAGGGGCTAATAGACAAGATATATATTTTATTATACAATAAAGAATATTATGTGCTGTAAATTAAGGCAACTTTAAGTGCAACAAGCTTATTAAATCATCATGAAGAAGCATATTTGATTATACAAAGTTTAAAATTAGTCTTGTACACACAAGGATAATTGGTGTCTGCATAAAGCATGGTACATGCCCTTCAGTTTGTTTTAAAAAAAGAAAACAAAAAACCAGGTAATCCTCTTCTATTGACCAACAATTGCCAGCAGCAAACGCCGGTAATCACCGCTTGTATCACTCGCTATCATTGTAGCCAAAGTCTTCTGGTACATTTGTGTGAACATCTGTTTAATTTGCACAAGGTCAATCTATGTAAAGAAAACAAAAAAAAGCATAAAACTTAAAACCATGCACTGTGTTGAAGTCCCAGACAGTCACCCTGCATCTCTTCCCTCGTGGACCACGGAGCACATGCCAAGGGTGAAATACGCCGCTGATTAAATGCGTGCCTTATGAGCCGGCTGGACCCTCCCGAAACAGAGGAGCAGCTCCCAAAGCTGGGAGTCCAGCAGTTGGTCCTTGCGTTGTTAGGACTGCAGTATCCTAACTGCTGACCCTTTGAATTCAGGGTGCTTATCTGCTACATGGACAGGCACCCAGAGTTAAGAAGGGAGACAAGCGGCATTACTGTCTAGCCAGAGAGAATTACATTACTCTCTAAAAGCTGGCTTTAAAACAAATTAACACGTTCATCTAAATCTGAACCCCCTGAAAGCTTCATTGCAGTACATGGTCTCTACAGCTGTGAAAGGAGAACAAAGTGAAAAGCCGGATAGCGTAGAGAGCTTTCTGCTATGTGAGACGTTTACAGAGGGGAGTTTCTTACCTCACTGCGAGTGACGATAATTCGGATGAGGGTAGAATCATCTGTGCCAGCTCCCTTCATAGAATAGTAAAGTCTTTCTGCAAAAAAGGCTGGGCGATTTAAAGCACATTGCACTGCAATAAAGCATATTTCTAGGATTAGTTCCAGTATTGTATGCTGTACAGCAGTACCTGGCAGGATCAGTTCAGGATTTTTGCTGTAGACAGAGGTGGGTATTGATGAAGATCCAGTTACTGGGGAATTACAGGAACTGTTTTGTAGAGCTAAGTTTGTTTTCAAGCTGACCAAATGAGTTATTCCTTCACACAAAAACTTTGGGTTATTATTAGTTAACTTCTTTGGAAGTGCTTTTCAAAGCTGGCTGAAACCTTAATTCTCAAATGGGTAATTTAAAACAGTTCTCCTTGGATACAAGGAGATGCTGGCCTGGGATACAAGGTATTTTACTCATGTTCCATTGCTAGAATCTCACTAAGTACAACTGTAGAAAGTTCTCACTCAGAAGTTACAGAATGGTTTCAGTTGGGTTGTTCAGTCTCAGAGATGAGCCTTTTTTCATTTACATGAGCTGAATTTTTCCCGTAAGACTCTTGAACAGAATATGATCTGGAAAGTTTCTGCTTATCTGTTACGGCTACAGAAACGCTGTCGTTTTGGTTAAGCATTGGTAGGACTGGTGTCTGCAGATTTACAGGTGAATCCCACTGATTCTATCAGCAAATTGTGCTGAATATGAACGGCTTTACTGTAACAAGGGAGAAGTGAATTCAGAACAAGTCTTCTCTTTTACTGAAGTTTTCCTTAGCAAATGCAGAGCTTTTTGGGGGTAGGTGGTGGTGGGGAAGAGGGGCTGAAAGGGAACTGTGCCTAAAGTAGGTTTGGTTCACGTTGGCTCTAAGATCACGTGTGGGGGTGGCTCAGCTGTCTCTGCTGAGGTCCCACACAACCAGAGTCACGGCTCTGTTACACTGGTACTCGCGTGGTTTTGCAGAGCTGAGAAATCCAGCTCCCAGCACTAAGCAGTGACCCTTGCTGCTGTGTAGCTGCTTGCCTTCCCAGAGAAGTGACAAGTGGTTTCTCTGTGGCCTTCTCTTGTTTCAAA